CACTGGTTTTCATAGCAACACAACAAAATCAATTTTAAACAAATGGAAGAAAACAAAAGACTACTTTTGGGTATTTCTTTTTCTATTTTTCTGATGGTGATTCTTCAATTAAATTTATGAAGCTTACTATGATACGAGGATAGTCTTTTGCCGATTGGTTCGTTCCATTTTTGTTTCTCTTTTTTGATTCTCTTTTTTTATGCTCAAAGTTAATATTTTCACTTGTAATTCTTTTTGTTGAAATCATTTTCAAAATTAAACGAATCAGCTTGATTGCCATTTTGTACTAAGTATATCAAAATATTTACTATTAAAATAAATTTTCAGCTTGATAAAATTCAATTTAAAAATGTCCTAAATCTATTCAAATTTAATTTTGCTCATTAAGTTCAATGCTTTATGATCAGATGAGTGTTAACATTAAATTCTGAAATTTCTTTGCAATTTCACAATTATCATTTCTACAACTTGCTTTATATATATATATATGTATGTATTTAGGCAGCATATCTTCATTCAAACATGTTTCATTGAATAATATAGAGATATTATGTTTATTTTTATACTGATCCTTTCCAGTTTTCTAATGAGTATCTTGATGTTACGATGAAATTCATCAAGCATCAGCATAGTTTTTTTTTTTTTTTTTTTATCCCAAGTACTTTCAATCTTTTCTAAGATCATCTTCAGAGGTAAATTACAAAGACAAACTTATTTTAAATGCAATAAAATCTGCATTCTATTGTGATGGTGATTTTTTTTTTTTTTTTTTTTTTTTAGCGAGCACTCTCTGTAATTAATTATTTTAAAATTTTTAATTTATCCGTTGTAGTTATGGAATTATATATATTATTATTTATTCGAAAATTATAACATAAATATGTTATAAAATCACTACAAAAAAAGCCATTTTGTTTCAACACTTCTGGTGTCTTATCAAGTGATGGTGTTGAAATAAAAAGAAAGAACAGTCAGATTTATTATCCAGAGTTCTTTAGCATTTATATTTAAAAACAATGCTTGATACACAGTTAAAAATTTTTAAATATGTATTCATCGTGGCATAGAAATTACTATGTTTTTAAATAATAATATACATATATATAAGTTATTGACTTGTACATTATACGATTGAAATTGATTCTAAACCTGTTTTGAGACAATGTCTTTCTAGTCTCTTCTCTTGCTAATGTTTACATTTTTTTTCTGTTATCCTTCAATCTCCCTCAGTTTCTCTTTTATTTTACTTTTAAATACCTCTCTCATATATCTCATACATAATAGTAAGATGCTAGTGGTAATGGTGTCTTCATCTAGCTAATTTCTTACTATTATGTTGGAGGTATTTTGGCTGCAGCCTATGTTTTAGGTTATCTGCTTTAAAATATTTTTTAATTTAATAAGAATTTTCATTGGCTACACATTATCCAATCAATGCATTTTATTTTTGCTCTTTTGTTTGAATAATCAGATTTTTCTTAAGAGGAATAAAAATTAATGATAAATAAATTTATAGTTCAAAGACATTAGAATAAATATGAATATTTGAATTTTTTTTTTTTTTTTTACTAATTCTTAGACAATATTTGTTGTTAAATTTAGATTTAAATAAAGTCTCAGGATATAATTCCAATGACTGAAAAGCAATTTGTATTTAAGGACTTTGATGACCCAAAATTTATTTTTTTTATTATTTAGCATTCTGCTCTTCTTTTTAAATTTAAGGGGTTTTTTTTTTGGTTTTTTTTTTGGGGGGGGTTACCTTTTAATGAAAAGAGGTTAATTCTTCATACTTTGGAAAAATTCAAAATCTTGTTTTAAGATAGCCTTGATTTTCCAGACATTCATTCAACATTGTCTTCTTCAACATCTTCTATAAAATTGAGTCTTTTGTGATAAATATGTTAAGACTGCATTCTGACAATTTGTTTCCATTTATATATGCATTGTTGAATATAGAACATTAATAATGACTGGTGACTTTTAGATTTTATGAAACAATTATAACAACAAAGGAGAAACAAAATGTCATCAGTTAATGACTGTTAATCAGTACTAAGATGATGTTGTAAAATGATAAACTCCGATTCATATCATGCTGTATCTACTTCAACAAAAATTTAATCTTATAATTTTTTTTTTCTCTGTAGGCCATATAAGCAGTTAACACTTTTGTTCACAGTAAATTTATTATTGCTAATCTCATTAGAACTAAATTTGTAATTGGTAGTTTCATTGAAACTCTCATGATACATACAGGTAAGGATATATACAGGTAAGAATACTTTTCTGTTGGCAGTGGCATAATGAAACTGATACACTTTATATATCATATGTGAAAGTGTATAATATTCAAGGCATTTTGTTCTTGGGGGAAATTTATATTTTTCATTGTTCATAAAAAGGCAATAATTAATTTTGAGTTTTAAAAGGAAAGCTTTTATTTAGAATTTCATTTAATATTTACTAAATCTATAAAATATAAAAAAATAAAATTATTTAGTGCTCAAAGGCTTATCTTTGTTCTAACACTGAAATTCAGTTCTTACGATTATTACTGCTTGTAAGCTTAAAACTAATATGGTGACTATTACAATGACATAAGCTAACCAGTCAACCTCAGCTAATAAGATTTTTCAGTTCATTTACAAAATTTCCAACAATTTTACTTGCATTTTTTTTTTTTTTTTAACTAATGGTCACCCAATATAAGGCACAAGAGCCACTCAAGGTAGAAGTTTACTGTGTCATATTGCATGAGCATAAGAAAGGGCAAGACATGAAGTTCATGGTGCTAGGCAGGACAGATAAAGTTTAATCCTAGACTTGAAAAGGTCAAGTTTGTAGTGATTTAGAAAACATCCTACTGAGAGTCTATTCCACAAAGCAGCAGATCTTGGGAAGAAGCTATCCAAATGGAACTTACTTCTTCTTCTAGGAATACAAAGAGGGAATGGCAGGTCCCAGTTGTAAAAATCAGGACTAGTGGAACTAAGGAATGTAGCTCAGAATCAGAACACATTCCATAGAAGTAGAGGTATACCAACAAGAGGTTCATAAGATTTTGCCTGTAAAAAAGAGGCTGTAATGTGGAAAATTCATCACCCACAAGGTCAGGTAGATGTTTTGAACTCTCTCAAGACAGGAGGATGAGGACTGGGCAACTCTAGCCCAGATATTGGATGAGTAAAGTTTTTTAATTAAAAAAACTAAAATGAAAGATAATTACTAGTCAGATGGTCATGGTGATATTAGCAGTTTCCTTATAAGGAAAACATTCAGCATTCATTGACTGAGTAGTCGAGTTATGTTTTTCTTCATTCCTGGTCCAATTGAGGTGGTGGGTGGGTTATAATGTCTTATCTATCTGTCTTATCTCTGATGATAATATTTGCTAAATGTTTCCTTATAAGGAAACAGCTTTTATTGATTGAGCAGCCAGTGCTACTTTTGGTTGAAATTTATAAAACCTTTTTCTTAAAATAATTTTTCACAAAAATAGGTTTCTCAAGTCCTTTAGTTGTTATCAATCTTTCCAATATTAATGGGGGTTTCTTTCTTAACCTTTTGTTTGAAGTGATGACTTCATTATTTTCTCTTTGCATTACATGTGATATCCATTTTAGCTGTTGTAAGTCCACATGTAATATAGTTTCTGTTATTTGGTACATATTTTTGTGATTCTTTCGTGCCAATCGACAAGGTTCAAAGAAGGATGATCCTCAACAGGTTTCATCCACCCAAAACCATTTTTAATCATTGATCTGAGAATGTGGTTGTTGACAGTTTCACAATTTCTGAACAAGTTTGGCACCATGTATAACATCCATATGAGTGTCTCTATATTTGAATGTTTACTATTTATTAATTTCATATCCTGAGTTTTTATGATAGATTCATGTTCGGTGCCATCCCTGCTTTCATTCCAATTCCAGATTATAGTTTCTGTTTTTGGAAAAGTTTACAATGCTTAATCTAAAATAAAGATAATATCCTTCCAAGGTTTGTTTGTGATCACATTTTCTTCAATTCGGATGTGACTCAGGGGGGTTAACATTAAAAAATTATGGCCAATTTTCTGAGAAAAATCACCCCTTTTTTTTTTTTTTCTTTTTTTTATGAAAAAATATTTTTTTCCACTTCAAAACAATTTCTTTTCAAACTTCAATCCTTTCTCTTTAAGTTGGTGTGAACATCATTGTATAAAATGAACCATTATATGACCCAAAGCTGGAAAATATGAAAGACATGTGGTGAAAAAAAACAATGTCATCTGCTAAGTGTTGTCATCACCTGGGTCACAAGGTATTAAAAAACAAAACATATTAAGCCATTGTTTTTACTAAAGATTTCCATGGCCAGGTTTCAATTTTTTTAACCCCTGGTGGCAATATAATTGAAAATTACCAACGGACTTTGTCGCATTTTTACCCCCCTAGGAATGTTGTTTTCCTTCAAACTCAATTTTATGCCTGAAATAGTTTATGATTTAGGCTTTCTGATTTTCAAAAAAAAAAAAAAAAAAATGGTTAATTTCTCATTAATGTGGGAAATATTTGTTTAGAGCTAGAAAAAATGCAAAATTTTCACTATTTTTTCACATTTTAGCCCCTGAAAAAAAATTTGAGTCATTTACACCAGCCAATTTTACTTTTAAATGAAAGAACATATCCTTTACTTTCAGAAATTATCTAGTTTCATGGGGTTCAGATCAAAAGTTTCCTTGATATTTGTTCAGATGATTTCTACACAGTCATTTTTCAATATTTTACCCTATAAAAGTATGAAAATCCATTTTTTGAGATAAAATAAGCTGTGATAAAATGACTTTTGCTATTTTTGTGATGATTTTTATTTGGGATAGAAAATTTTTATCATAGAAAACCTGAATTTTATTTATGTTTAGAGGGGCTATAGGGTCCCTCAAACAGCTGTGATACTTGTTTAAAAAAATGAATGCTATTTTCTTTTTTTTATTTCTTTATTTTATTTTTTTTCAGTTTTTGAGTCTGAACTTTTGGGAGGTCCTCTTAAACCGTTACCCTCCTTCAAGCCAATGCAACCGCTGGAAGATATGCTAGCCAACACCAAGTCAACGACAATGAAGCAGTGTCAACCAGACGAGCACTTGACCACTGAAGCATCCAAGGTCATTCAGACTCTTCCTGATCTCTCATTCATGCACGCAAAAGTTTTAATGTTTCCAGTCCGACAGTCTAGCCAATAGAGAATGGCCATCTTCTGCCCCTACTTTAAAAGCCTAAGCAGCTTTCACACTCATCTGGAACTGCAAAAGATTGCAAACTGTCACAGAAATGGAGAGGAGAAAAGAAGGTTGACATAAGAGTGTGCAGCGGGGTAAGGGGTAGATGGATAACTTTACTGTATTTATGATATTTGGCAAAAAAAAAAAAATCACCTGATGTCTGCAGAAGGCATTTAGCTTGTTATACTGTGTACACATTTCCAAAGTACGCATGAGACATATTTTCTCATGTCTAACACAGAAGTCAGAAAATTGTTTTAAATTTAAAAGATAAAAGAATTGTACAAAAAGGGGCCATCTAGATTAAATAGCTGATTTATTTTGACTGGCAGAAAAAGGAAAAAGAAAAGATATACATATTAAAAAAAAAAAAAAAAAAAAAAAATAGGAAAACAAAATATTTGTGTATAATATTCAGGGCATTTTGTTCTTGGGGGAAAAAACAAAGAAAAGAAGAAAAAAAAGAAAATTTGAGGACGAAGAAAAAGAAAGTGTAAAGAAAAAGAATTAAAAAAAATGAAAGAAACAAAACTAGATTAAAAAATTGCAAGGTGAATTGTTTAACATGGACAAAGTAACCTCAAATCTTTTCAGGGAACTTCAGGTTCTCATTTTCTGAAATTTTTGGCTTTTTTTTTTTTACTTTGAGCTTTTCCTCCACTGGCTAATGAAAACTGAACATTTTAGAACATTGAACTGAAAAGAATCCATATTTTTTTTTTTCTCTAAAACAATTTTTAAAAATCAGTGATTTAAAGGCTATGTCTTTCTTATAATAGGAAAAATTCTTTGGAAAAGGATTATTGACTTGGATGAATGAAGGGATAATTGAAATGACAGATGAATGAAAGTATTGACAGGTGAATAAATGAATGATTGTTTTAAGTAAAGATTAAAATTTGGACTGAAATGTAAATGATTTTTTTTTCTACTGATCTGCATAGGTTCTAATGTAGTTAGCAGACTTGAAATGATTTTTTTTTTTTTTTTATTCCTTTGTCAACATTGCCCACTGCCATCATATTGCTGCTATGTGTCAAGATGTTGCCCCCTGTCAGATTGGACATTTCCTGGGTGATGGTCATCACCTTTGGGCATCACAATTTTGGCACTTTCTGGAGCCTGGTCAAATCACTTAGGTGATGTCTCACAAGATCAACAATGCTAAAAAGGAACAAAATATAACGTAAAGGACAAACGCTTTAGCATGGGAGATAACTCTTTAGTTGTTTCCTTTGTTATAAAATGACATACATTAACCAGATAGTCAAACACTTTTTCTTTACTAGGTTTACTCAGGGTGTTTCTTTAATTTTTTTTTTTTTTTTCTTTTTAATTTATTTTCGTTTTAACTTTTAAGATTTTCTTTCATTTATTTTTGTTTATCACTTCTTTTTGTTTTCTATTTACAACTTTGGGAGGACAAAGCAAGGCTTTCTTTCACAGATTTTGGGCAGCATCTCGTTTTCTGGGTTCTATTTTTTTCTTTTCTAATGACTCCTCACTCTCTCAACACTGTGAATGGACAAGGTAAAACCTCCCTTCTCTCTCTCTCTCTCATGGGTTTACAGTGGACATTCAAATAATAGCCACTTGTTAACCACTTTAATATGGCTGTTCATTATGCCTTTTTAATTTTATTATTTTAATTCTTCACACGTTTTCCAGTCAAAGAATAAGAACAGCCAACTTCCTCAGTTAATAATTTTGCTAACAAGTTTTAATTAAAATCTGCAGTTATTTTATGTTGATTCCTAAGCTTAAATTGAAAGTAAAAATGTCTTAAAGACTGAAAAGAATTTATAAGATAATTTTCTTCCCTTCAAATAAGTTTAGTTTAAGGACCTGTTTCCATATGATGTATTTTTTTTTTTTTAATATTAAATATATGCAATTCACCAGAATTTTCTTGTTTTGTTACTTTCATGAAATAATTGATTGTAAATTTTACCAACAGGCTTTAAAATATTTATAAAATATCAAGTTTATTTTTTTTGTGAAAATTGTTAAGAATTTGTTTATTCTTAACTAAAAAGTTCAAGTTTCCATTGACATATCTTGAGTAGTAGACTCATTTGGTTAGAACATTGTAGCAAAAATGAAATTGTTTTTTTATTTTATAAGAATCCAGAGCAATTCTCATTCCATAAAAGAATGTGTGAAAATAGAATTTCATTTCTTCTGAGGAAATGTAAACCCTTCTCTAAGATCTCAGGATTAAATTACAATTTCTCATTTTTATTGATTTTATTCTATCTCTCTACAAATTTTTGACTTTATTATTTAAAAAAAAAAAAAATTCGATTTTAAGGTATATCTCAAAATTTAAAAATTAATTTCATAAAAGTGATGAAATAGACAGCTAGTATCATTATCCTTTCTTTTTTTCTTTTAATTTGTAAGTTTTAGAATATTTAATACCGTTTATGTTCGTCTTTCTTTCTTTTTTTATGCTTTTTATTTTTTTAATTCTAAGTCTGATGTGTCTTAATTTTAAGAATATCTAACAGTAAAAATAATGTTGCTGTCAGGTTTAAAAAAAAAAAAAAAGGAAAAGTAATTGATGGTTGAGATATAAACAATTATTGGATATTTTTTATTAAAAAGAATGATTTCAAAAATGTGTTCATGCTTTTTTGGGGGTTCACCATTCAGAGCAGAAATTTTATTTTCCTTAAGTTTAATTTTTGAGTTTTGGTTAAGTGCTTACCCCCAAATCTTTGGAGTTGAGAAGAAGCAGGTGGGAGCAAGCACCAATGATTTTTCTTTCTCAGGGTTTTTATTAGCATCAATTCTTTCAAAAAAAATAAAAAATAAAAATTTAAGTATTCCAATGAAATAAAGAAAATATTCCATTTCTTTCTTTTCTATTGACCTTGGGATATTTCTTTAGGCAATGTTTAAACCCTGGCATTCACACAAACTCGAATATGGAATTCAATCCAGTTGACTTTCTTATAGAAATCACTCTTTCAAAGTGTCAGTGTCTTTGTGATTCTAATTTTTAAGGATTGGGAGGGTGTATATATTCACCTTTTGGTTGTTTTTATAATAGATTAGTGACAAGCATGTTATTTTCATTAGCAATTGCCTGTACCTTCATTCTATACCAGGTGCTCCATTAAGGTGGCCTTGTGCCAAACTTGGCTTAGCCCAACAAATAATACTAAATAAAGTATTACAAGAGCCAATTAAAGGAAACTTGCTTGACTAAAAATGCAAATTATCTTTTGTATTTGTAAAAATTGAATTTAGTTGATTTCTTTTCACTTGTACAAAACAGAATTATTTTTTTTTTTCCAATGAGTTTTGCTTGAAAGTTTCATTTATTTGATTCGAGGGTTTAAACTGAAGATTTTTAGATTCCAACACAAACCTCTATTGCCAGTCACATTAAGAAAACAAACGATTATTAACTTCCATTTTTCAAGAAATATTCTATTAATCGCATTCCACCTTGTCTTTGTTAGCGTTCAGTTTCCAAACTTAAAGGATTTTTTATTTTGTTTATTGCTCGACATTTTAATGTTCGATCTTTACTCTCAGAAATTTAGGTAGAGACAAAAAAAAGTAGTGTGTGTATGGGGGGGGGTCAAAACATTGTTTTGGTTCATAGATTTTTTCTTTTTTTTTTTTTCTTTATATTTTTCAACTTTGACCTATGCAAAAAGCTGTTCTCTTCTCTCCAATGTGCAAAAAACAAATTCCTCTTTTGCTTCTTTAAGAATTCCTTCTCATTTCTTCATTAGTCTGACATTGTTGCAATTCCTTTTTCTTTAAAAATAAAAGAACCATACCAATTTGTAAACATTTCAATCCAAGGCCTAAAATCTTCTTGTTATCAATGCGTACATTTAGCTGTTGTTGTCAGTTGGGTGGGTAAATGCAACTTGTTTGTCAGTTAAGGATTGAAGAATATAACAACCAAAAGACAAATCACAAAAAAGTAAAGAAAAAATTTTTTTTTTTTTTTTAAATCTCCAGCATTGCAACTAGAAACCAATTTAGTCAATACAGTGACCCCTGAATGATTCCGGTGTCAATGAGGAAGATTCTTGTAAACCCCATTCCCCCCCACCCCCCAAAAAAACTGGACACTGTCTGAGCAATGACTCTAAGAGAGATCCGTCATCCACTGAAATAGAGAGATTTCTCTGACACAATCAGCTATTTTTTGGTTATATTTAAGTATGGATATGTCAACATTAGGCTGGTGCAGGAGGTGATGCTGTTGAAGCCAAGTATACTGACCAGGCATACATGAACACATTTATTCACACACACACACATATATATATATAATATGATTAATAAAAGTTAATGGTTAATATAACTTGTAAAATATTTTTTTTATGTATATAGGTATATATACAAGTTCCAGGTTTATTTATATATATATATATATATATATATATATATATATACACACACACACACACAGAAATTAATGTATATATATATATATATATATATATATATATATATATATAAATAAAAAAGAAATTTTTAATGTTACTTCCTGGTTGACTTATGTTAAGAGAATCATTCCTCTTTTATTTATTTTATTGCACTTGTTTGTGTTGACAGGATCTTCTCAGGAGAGTTTAACACATCCTGGGCAACAGCTGCCTTCTCCTCCTCCTCTGATCAACTTCCTGTCACTTTTGTTGTTGTTGTTGTTGTTTATCACTTGTATTTTCCCCAAATTTACAAATAATTACAAAAAAAAAAAAAATTTTTTTTTGGTCTCATATTTTCCTGTAACAGGAAAGGGGGATACACAGGTTGAAATAAATTGGTCCAAATGACTTCTGTGAAATAATGTCAGAATTTCTTTTGTACTTTTCGGGGACTGTTATGAAACTACAGAACAACTTCTCAGACGTCATTATGGCTATACTAATTTTGACATCTTTTTTTTTTTTTTTTTTTTTTAAATAAATCTATAGATTCATGATGTTGAAAAATATAAGCCTTATTTCCCAATTTGTGGTAACAGACATTTTGCATGTAAAATCTGCAAAAAAAAAAAAAAAAAAAAATTGCCTTAAGTGCAAGAATTAATGACTGGAGTCGACAAACCTTAAATCACTGTTGACTTATTTACTTTAATGTTTGTTTGTAGCATCCTTTAAACATTCCAAGGATGGAAATAAACATTGGAATATTAATAAATAAGAAAGTACAACTGACTGATTTTGTTAAGTACTGATCTGTAAACTGATAACTTTATGTTGATCTGTGGAGTGATTTTATATTCTACAAATACCAAAAAAACTGAAGAATCCTAGAATTCCAAAGTTTTCTTTTTGTGTGATTTTAAAAAAAAAAAAAAAAGCAAGCATTGATATCTTTTCCAGGGTATTGTAGAGTTTAATAATAATAATAATGTTCATCCAATAACCCATATTCAGATGATAGCATCACTGAGATTTGTAGCATGTGCAGTAATGATTACACTGCCTTGTTGTCATCAGACAATAATACATCATGTGTCTAAGATCCAAATATGTTCTTTGATTTTTTTCAATCTATCTAAAGAGTAAAATATTGCATTGAGGAGTCATAAAAAATTGATTCTTACATCATAAAACAATCTGGTTCATGTCTACAATTATAAACCCATAATTACACTGCATGATGTTCAAGCTAAACTCTTAATGGTTCAACTTGGCTATTTTATAGAACTATTTAACTTGACATAACATTCTCTGTAAGTTTTGCACATTTCTCAAGTTTCAGTTCTTCCATTTTTTCTTGGAATTCATCAAAGAAAGGAATTGGAGACAAAACCAGCTGGAAATCCTGAAAATAGGGGAGAAAAAAAAATTTAATAAGTGAACTTTTATTCATTAACAAATAGTTATTTTAATTTTTTTTTTTTTTCAGCTGTATTTAAGAAAATTTTTCTTACCTTTTTATCTACATTGAAAGATGGATCGTTTTCTCTGTAAGTTATTTGTCCAAGAGGAATGTAAACTGACATGTTTTGCATATTTGCTTTGTATTGAGATGCTCTGTTTTTCACTGGCAGAAACCTGACAAAAGAAAGATGGAATCATTTATTTTTACAACCAGTTAAATGCTGACAGTGTCTGCTTAGGTTAATTGATTAGACATTTCATAACATGGAGGAAGCTTAAAAAAAAATGTCAGTGTTACTTCTCCCCCAGAAAAAAAAAAATCATTTTTATATACCTTGAAATGCCTTCAGCCTGTGATTATTATCTGCACCATTCCCAAAATTAATTATTAGCTTTTTCTTGTCTTTAGCTACCGTTACTATTGGTGTTCTAATAACACTTTAAAGCACTTCTCATATAGAAAATTATATTTACGATTTCTAGGCTAGGAAAAGACTTTAATGTTTACTTTGTGTGTGTGTATATATATATATAAAAATTGTGTATTTGGGCAGCAATTGCTCTTTTATAAAAATTTCATTGAAAACAGCTGACAAGGCACAGTGATTAAGCTTATTATTAAATTTTTCTTGCAGCCTCAGAATTTCATCCTGAGGCTGCAAGAAAGTTCCAATCCATGAAACAATTGGCATTATTTTTAATAACATTTATCACCATTCTTCTGAAATGAATCCTGTAATATTTAAAAAAAAAAAAAAAAAAAAAACTTTCATTAGTGTCTACAATGTCACTATAGGCAGCCCTCTCGGCCTTTTATTTTCAAAGTTTTCTATGAACAATTTAGAAAACAAAATATTCAATGAAATAAATAAACCCACCATTTATGCCCGAGATATTGATGACATCTTAATCAAATCTGTTATTGACATTATAGAGCTTTAAAATTTTTGAAAAAAAAATAAATAAATACATTAGATTTATTATTTACTACAAAAAATTCAAAACTAGCAACTTGGTTATTAAAAAAAATATTTCCCAAAACTTTCAAAATCCCCTACACAAGACCCAATGTTGTGTATGAATATACTTACCCCCCCCCTCTTGAAGAATGTTTCTCTGTAAATAAACACAAAATGTCTTAGCATACATCACAAACACACTTTCACAGAGACTCACTTGCCACATATCAGATAACACATAAGCAGCATAGTAACATGAGACAGCTCCTCACAAATAATACCAAAATATTAACAAAGACATATAATCCTTAAAGCAATACCCAAATAACAAAAACAATTATAACTTAAGAGCCCACATCTCACACTTAACCTACATTGCAATACTCACCAATTGTTTCTACCACTCTGATGATGGTCCAAGATTTTCTTCCAAATTTCTAATAGAATTTCTTTCTTGTCTGAGAAGGATTATTTGTAATTTGGAAAAGTCGATCAATAAAATTAATCCTGTTTAATAATATTTGCTGACTAAATACATAGTTGTGAAAACCTTGCAATAAGACCCAAATACCCTGAAATGATGTAAAATCTCAAACAAGGACAGCAAAAAAAAGACCTAAAGGCAAACACCTACCTCCTCAGTAAAGTGCTCAGTGCCTAGATTACCTCGACAGCAAAAAATGCTGGACACCATTAATTCCTATGAAAGGATGGCTCTAGCCATAGCCTGAGTTTCATGTTCACGTGATCTTCAAACAACAATGAAGGCATGTTCAAGTCATCTGAAGATCATATGAGCATGTAACTCGGATTACAACTAGGGCCATCCTTTCATATATCTACATTCCCAGAAACGGCTTTTTTTTTCCTGGCTAAAATATACTTTTGCTTTCTGAAAATATTGTTATAATTATTGGTTCAATAATGTGTTCAAAGATTTATAGATAAGTTCATTACTGGTATAAAAAAAAAAAAAATCTGCATCTTACTTCTTTTGTTGCACAGCTTTTCAACTGTAATAAAATGGCCAATGTCAAAATACTTTTTCTATAAATTGTACTTGTAAAATCTACTCAACTATTCAAACAATACTTCTCTTGTCAAGTCAAGAAATCAATCTATCCAATTGTAATTTTAACAAGCAAATCTTGAGAATCATCTTTCTCATCTTCAACCATTTAAAAAATAAAATACTAAACAGCCAACTATTAAAAAAAAAGTGTTTGTTAATGAATGGTTGATAAAAAAAATTTGTCAAGTTCCAATTCTTACAAATCATCATGAAGTCTGTGTGTCCATTCTTTATCCATCATTGCTTTTCTTGCTTTTTCTAAATGGTAAAAATCAGTTTCCATGCGTAAAGTTTGTCGAGGTGGTTTGTACCGCTGAAAATGAACCTTCTTTGGATCTTGAAAAGGCCCCTAAATTGTAAAAGAAAAAGAATTATTTTGAAAAAGAGTCTCTCTCGTTTTATAAAATAGAACACAGACTGACAATCGTCCTTGCTTTTTACAATATGTAAATTTGTCTTGCATCAATACCAAATGAATAGACTTTTCTTTACTTGATTATTAAAATATGACTGATTTAATAAGTCTACAGTCTTTAAAAAAATTCTAACCTGAGCTATCACAAGAAAATTTGGATCAGCCTGATTTTCTTGTATTTATAGCAAAGTGATCGTCTGGAATCAAATTTTAATCAACAAACTATGAACTTTGTTTTTTTTTTACAGAAGGAAAAACAGAGATTGAGATGCTTAAAAAAAAAAAAATTATGAAGAGTTGCTGAAAAGGTCTCTGCCTAACGAAGAAGACGTTTTTTTCTTTTTTTCTGCTATTTGGTCAATGGGATGGGCCAAGAAATTTTTGATAAGTTTATTTCTGCTGGGTTTTTTTTTCTCAAAGGAAGCCACCTTTATTTTTTATTCTATAATTTTTAGAATGCAACAGAAACAAGAGAAAATAAAAAAAAAAAAATTATGATTAACAATGAAATTTCTTAAGTAAAGCCAATTGGGACTGGATTTCATGAGTCTGCAAAAATAATTCTCAATAAAAAAAACAAAAAAAATGAGATTTTATTAACACAACAAAACAATTAACATTGGCTTAAATACCAATTAAACTCTTCCCAATTAGCTTCCAGATTTCATTTCTATAGAAATAATTGCCTTTGCTAGAGTGGTCTTAATATTTAAAATAATGGGTAAAAATCTAACCAAACAGAGTTTATTTCTTTTAAGGTCAGACCAATCTTTTCACATATACACAGTTTCATCAAAAAGTATTGGGACTGTTGCTATGGTAATGAAGCTAAAGTACACAGAATGTAGCCACTTGTCACAAATTGGCCTTGAACTGTCATGCGTGCACACTAAGCTATAACATTCTCTCTCTCGTGTCTGTTGTTTATAGCAGTGCTTAGAAGGAAAGTGTGTAGGGTGTTGTCATCTCATCATACCACAGAGGTTTTATCAGTGACCATTGGTAGAGAAAACTGAACAGAGAATCTGCAAATTTTGTCAAAAGTTTGGTGATACCTGCAGAGAAACCTATGCAAAGTTACAGAAAGTGAGAGAGGAGTATATGAGCTGAACACAAATGTACAAGTGGTTTGAAAATTTCCAAGATGGCTGACAAAATGACGCATGTTTTGGGAGAACCCCAACCGGCACTGATGAAAAACATTGCAGATCTGCATGCAGCTGTTCAAAAAGACTGTCTGACAACTCATGCACAGTGAATCTACAATGTGAACATTAGTTAGGGTTCAGTTCAGTCCCTTCTCAATGAAGATTTGGTTACAAGACATTTGTACCAAAACTGCTTTCATCTAACCAGTTTGGGTTTCAAGGAAGGCAAAAACATTTTGAAAATGGGTCTATGACTCTGAAACTAAAACTAAGGCTCAGTCTTTGCAGTGGAAGACTCCAACCTCTCAAAGACCGAAGAAAGCATGAATCAGTCAAAGCAATATGAAGACGCTCTTGACAATTTTCTTTGACTACAAGGGCATTGTTCACCATAAGTATGCTCCACCTGAGCAAACAGTAAATAAGGAATACTACCGGGATGTGTTGCAGTGTTTGTGGGATGCTGTTTATTGGAAAAAGACAGAATTGTATGCATCTGATAAGTGGCAACTCCACCACGACAACACACGTGCCCATTCAGTGCAGTTTTGACCAGGCACAACATTCTCCACGTCTGACAACCACCACATTCATCAGATCTCACCCATTGCAACTTTTTTCTCTTTCCAAAAATCAAATCCCAGTTGAAAGGAAACGAGATTTCAAGATGTCACATTCTCTTGGATTTCCTAGACAAGGCTGTTGCTCACTATCCCAAAAAAGGAGTTCCAGGAATGCTTCCATCATTTTTGCAGATTAAAGTTGGCTGGAAAGCATGGAGTTCCGCAAGCAAGAAGTGGGAGAAAAGAAACTGTTAGCATAGAACTTACAGCTACATCTAGCCAGCTCAACTGTAAATTAAGATCTCAATGCTAGTCTAGTACTGTGCTTAAATTCATAAAGTCTAGGTACCATAACAAAGAACTCATCCAAACAATGAAATTTTCATTGTATGATTTATAGAGAAGGAAGGAGACTATGTTGAAAAATATATGTATTAAAAATGCTTTTATATTTTCCTTAGGTTACAAACTTATTAATTTACCTATATAAGAACTACTTTTTTTGACCTCTAAAATTATATTTCATTTTTCAATGAGACAATTTAAATGTCTGTAAATTCAAAGATCACTTTCTACCCAAAGTTTCATAAATAAATCTGTTAGTCTGAAACCCTTTCACTGTAATATATACAGCATCAATTCTCTTTTTAGTTTTCTTTAAGGAGAAAAATTAAAAATAAATGCAATTCACAAAACCCAATTTCTTCATCCAAGTCCTTAATTCTTATCTTGACAATTGGTTTGTTTCTGTTATGACATTAAAAAAAACATCTAAAGGGGAAAAATAATGTTATCTGCTTTGGTAAAGAGAAATCTGCAACCCAACCTTTTCCCCTAAAAATGAAAAAGGCAGAGAGAGGAAAAAAAAAAAAAACATTTACCTGTTGTTTTGGCACATTTGGAAGATTTTTAATAGAATCCAACATTTTTTCACATTTCTTATTAAAAGACATTTGTTTTCTTTTTTTAGACAATGGACTGACTCTGAATTTTGCAGATTTTAGGAACAAGTCCCTGCTGTCGGCTGGGCTAAAATGAAAGTCAAAGATCAAGAAATTCATTCATAACTGATCTTTCATGGAGGCACTTTTCAGATTTGATCAACATTTCTTAGTTTTTCTAGGAGACAGATTTTAACACAAGTTTATCAAATATTTAACATGATTTCTCATTGGCTCTTCTCTCTTTTCTACCAGTTCTTCTCTTGGAGCATGTGTGTGGGGGAGGGGGACTCTTTAATATCATGCATTCCCTTGACTGATGTGATAAAAAACAAAAATATAAACAACTTGATGTGTTGTTTTTCAAATATCAAATTCATGCTAAACAATGCAACAATTAACCTTTGTAAGCAATGGGGTTCAATTCTTTTCTTTCTTTTGATTCATCTTTTGCTTTCGTTTATGGCATATCAACCTTAATGGCTTACTTAATGCCAACAAGATTTTTCCCAATTTATGCAATGTACTGAAATATTTGCATTTAGAACTCTTTTATATATATATATATATATATATATATATATATATAAATTTATTTAAAAATATGATTCCTTTGCTACATAAGAGTTCTCATGTTTCAAAAACAAGAACTGAAAACTTCAATAAAATTATTAGAATTGAATTAAAGTACCAACCTCTGTTTCATCTTGAAGCAAAATTTTTGGAATAACTAATCTTGAAATTTACATGTCTTTATAAGCATATTCATTAAAATTAAATTACTATGGAAATGGCTAGTGCAATTGATTAAATAAGGGGCATAAGGGTTAATAATTTGTATCAATATCTCAGTTACTTTCGGAAAGAGGTCAAGGTAGGGTTGGGGTGTCTAAATTTAAAGCGGAAGATGACATTTTTAAACTCATACCATCTAGTCTGCTTCACTGTAAGGTGTCTATGGAGATTTATTTTTTATTTTTTTCTAAAAGGGTTGTGTGTATATAAAAGTGTCGTATTGAGCTACAATTTGTTTTTTTGACAACTTCATAAAGGGTTTTTTTTATGATTGGGTTGAGCTTTTAAACCTTTTATTTAGACTATGGAATTTAAATTTTGTATTTATTATTTAATTGTCTGTTTTTTGTTTATTATGCTAATTACTTAATGCAAAAATTTGATGTTGGCAAAAAAACCCTTAACTCATGTCTATGGTTTAATAAATTTTCATTATTTACAAACTTAATAGTGTGTAGGCATAAAGGGCATGGGTCATCCCAGGTTTTACAAGTTCTTGTTCTATTTATTATTTTCCTTTTACTTTTGGTGTTTTATTCATTTCTTTTAAATACCAAAAATATTTAGATATGGATGTCTGATTTCTATTTCTAATATTGTTGAAGGAGCTTTTGTGCTGTCTCCACCTGGTTTTAATTTCATTTTTTGTAGACCCAATATATATCATATTTTAAAATAAATAATTATATTTAGGCTCTACTTTTGTATTGAGCACCACTGTTTTTTAAAAATAAAAACAAAAATACTAAAGAACTTCGGATTATTTACCTAATGAGATGTTTCCTATTTTCTACATATTTGCACACACACACATATATATATATATATATATATATATAATATATATATAGATGTAAAAATTTTTATTTTAATAAGTCCCCTATTTTCTATGCAAATGGACATTATTTATATTTACGGAAACAAAAACTTTGAGCAAAATAATATCCAAAGAATTCCCTAACCATCATCTGCAAAATTTTGCCTTTATTTGAAACAAGCATTTAAGAGACAAGCAATTGCATCAAAGCACTTGATTCATAAATTATGGCTTCTTAAAAAGAACAAATGTCTATTGTCACCAAATCTTCAAAATTTCCCCACATGCATGAGAAATGATTTCTGACATAATCAAATTGTTCAATTACACACGACTGCGGAAGGAGAAATTCATTCTGACAATTCATAACGGTTTTAAATATTTGTCATCTAAGGAAATCAGATTTTCAATTTACTGCTGCTATCAACCTGGATCTGAAGTCATGGATGGTTAGTATAATTACAACATTGTATGTAGAGCTCAAGTAAAAGAGACGCCTAAAAGATGTTTACTCAAATGGATTTGGATTTGTCAATAGTAAAATATGGACTTTTTTTTTTTTTTTTTTACCTGTAAGGAGAATTGTAAATTCCTGGAATGGCTTTTGTGCTAACCAAATGATGATATTTACGGACAAGTTCATTTTGGTGCCGCCTCTGAATAGTTCGAGCCATTTCATATTGCACCCTCCTTCTTTCATCTCTGAATTCCTGAAGTCGGATCCTGAAATGTCCAAATTGGAGAGGAAAAAGTTTTAAAAAACAAACTTCTTTGTTTTATATTCTGTGAATTAAGAAAAAACAAAAGTCATAAATTCAGATGAAAGTTGGGGGAGGGGGGTCGGCCATAAATGGCCCCTGGGGTTTGTGTTGAGGCGATCGACAGTTACAAGTCAAACATCTTCTCCTATTGATAGCAATTATCTGATAGAATGTTTTTGAAAACAAAAGCAGATTTCCAAAACAAGCAAATTTCTTAACCACCCCTATGATAATGCGACCGTCCTCTCTCGTTTTTGTCTATTCTTCATCTGAATGACATATCTATGAAATTTCTTTTCGATTTTATGACTTGTGTGATCACACAAAAGTTTCCCCAGAAAAAAAACAAGATATTTTAACAATTCTGCATTTGCTTTCATTTACTTACATAAAGGATGCCAAAAAAAAAAGTCTTTTTTTCTTTATATTTTCTGAATGTGAAGTGAAAAGGAAAATAAATAAAGTAAAGATAAGAATTGAATCTCTACTTTTTGTTCTTTTGCAGTTAATGAAACTTATGTCTAATCTGTACAAATAGATTTAAACATATCTGACTTCAAAAGTTTATTTATCTACAAAACCAGTTTCAAAGTTCTCTTTTTAACACAATAATTCTTGTATGTTGTGGCATTTTTACTATACCACCAACAGAGTCCACCACACAGGTAATTTGCCCATTCCTAAATAGTAACCTCTTCTAATGAAAAAAAAGTATTACACACCAAATAGTGTGTGTGAGTCCAGTTGTGCCTTATAGGAAGCATTTGAGCACCACCTGCTCCATGGAAAAGTGACAACTGAACTCAATGAATGATAAGGCACAAACCAATTGGAAAAGAAATGAAATTCCTTCAGAGAACCTCATCACCAGCTTGCTGAAAGAACAGAAAATGAGCACTGCATAGCAGACCTGCATCAATATTTACTATAATATATATAAATAAACGTTGGTAGAACTTATTGCTGAGTATTGGGATGCACATAGACATTTCCTTCTGTATGAAATGAGTCCGATGTTGGATCTGGAGAGACATCCGCAGCCACTGCATGGTCAGGGTAGGAGGGTTCAGGGAATGGAGAGCTCCGGCTTTTATTTCGGCTTTCTTCATCTTCTATTTGTCTTCTGGGTGTTTTAAGAGGATATTGTTTTTTCATAGACTGCTCTTCTTCAATTGTATGTGTGTATATATATAATAATTATTTTTTTTTTAAAACTGATTCTATCGCAACACAAAAATTTTCCATGTTTCAAAACTGAAACTAAAAATTATAAATTATAAAAATTAAACTTAAAATCCATAGTATCATTTTATTGATGATAAGAATAAACTTTCAAAGAAATTTACTTAATTTATAAACGCAGACAATATTGATATTATAAATTGTTAAGGTTAAGGAAAATCTATTTTAATTTAGGGGTGGAGTCCGGGTTTTAATTTCCCTAGACAACTTATGTATCCAATTATATGTTACTTACAAAGTCAGGTTAAGTTTAGGTGGGGTGAGGGTGTCTGTTAACGAACGTCTACTTCTGTAATTTAGTGAGTCATCCAGGTTTTACAATAAAAAAATTTTAGGCATTTTCATTCATCTGCTTAATTCATATTTTTATACACATAGATTTTCTAAACGAATCATTTAAATATGTGCAAGTCATTAATACTTAAAAATTTTATTCTTATAGATTTAAAGTACCATTTGACCATCTAATAACTAATAGACTATTTGGTATTTTTACAATTAGAATTTAATTACTAATTAAAAGATCAAACATAAAAATGTATGTTTAATCTCTATTCTTTATTTTATTTTTTCCAAAATTAATTATTATTTAAGGAAAATATTTGACAGCACCTACAAAAAATAGTAATAACTATGGATTTTAAGTTTAATTTTTATAATTAAATTTATAATTTTTGGTTTCCATTTTGAAACATGGAAATTTTCTGTGTCGTGATGGAATCATATTTTAAAAAAGAAAATAATTATATTTTCCTCTACCGTTTGTATCGAGCACTGTTTTTTTTTAAAATAACTGCTAAGAACACTGGATTATAAATCTTACTGCTCTTTCTTATTATATATATGTGTGTGTGTGTGTGTGTATTTTGTACTATTACCCGTGTTTATTTTTTTCTTTATACATTATTTTTATGGCTACACTTATTTGAGTAAATGCCTTGTTTTTTTAATTAAAACAGTACTAATTACATTTACTGGCCTGATAAATTTTGTAGAAAATATTCATTCTCTGGCAGGAATTGAACCTGTATTCTATACAGAACTATCATTAATCCTGATGTGCTACAACCATTCAGCCACAGAGAACTTCTAGTTAGCAAAGGTCGAATTACTGCTTTTAAATATGCACCTTTGCTGATTTCTCTTAATCTATCAGATCTGCTCTGAAATTGTAGCCTAACGTAAATAATGACAACATATTATATGAAATGGATTAAATCCAACAAATATTTTAATATATATATATTTTCTGTTTATATGCTGTTTTATGAATAGACTCATTTGAATAAATGCTTTGTATTTTAATCAAATGGTGGTTCTGTATAGGATACAGGTTCAATTCCTGTTGGTGAACCCATATTTTCTATGAAATTTCTCAAACATTAAGGATGGTAAAGGTAATTAATACTGTTTAATTAAAAAACAGCATTTACTCAAATAAGTGTAGCCATAAAAAATGTACAAACAGACAATATCTTAAAATATTTGTTGGATTTATTCCATTTCATATATATATATATATATATATATAAGTCTATTGATTCTTTCATAATTGTCATGAAGCATCAAACAAACTATTTTTTATCTTTTAAAAAACAGATACTCTGTTTTTAATCATCTGCCAAAACAATATTCGACAGTTTGGGATTGTTCAAATTTATTTTGTTAAACAAATCTATGGTCTATATAAAGGGATAAATTTTAATGAACATCTTTGTTGATATCCAAAAAGAGAAATGTGAGTGCATAATTTGAAGATCAATAAAAAAAAAACAAAAAAAAAAACAATTCTTAAAATGATTAAAAATCATAAAAGACGTACAGCATTATTTCATTTTTCTCAGCAAGAGCTTGGAAATATTCTTGTCGTTTGTAATAATTATACACATGTTGTCGGATCCAATTTCCTCTCCAAACTTTCTGGATCTGAAGTTTAAACAAGAAAAGCAATTATTGTTTCTAATGTTGAAAGAAAAAAGAGAATTAAAAAAAATAATGCAAATTTTGTTTTTTTTTTCCACACACACACACACACCTTATTTCAAAACTTTGTGCACATGAAGAAAAATGACTGATGACAGCCATTTTCTCCTTTCCTGTTTATGTAAAATATTAAATTTATTCACTTCTTATTTCTCTTGTGAATAATTGCAAATCCTGAATTGATTTGTTTTATATTAAAACATCTGTCTGTTCATTTTAATATCATTAAAGACAAGATTAGATTTGAACTTATGAGTGTGTTGATGTACTATAATCTGATCCAGAAACAATAAAAGTTGGTTTAGTGGCCAAAACAGTCACATATTTTTCACCAGTGCCAGGAATAAAATGTTTAAGTGGAAGCCAGCGTTTTCATGACACGGTTAGCTCCCTTCGCTTAGGAGATAAGCATAGACTTTATCTTTCCTGCCTATCCAATAGATTAGTACAATTGTATACTTGCAAAACCCTGCAATCCCTTTGCATAACTATATGAAATATTGCAGGAAGTGAAAATCTGGTTTTACATGCATACACTTGTAACTATATTAACTCCTCAAGTTAATTGTAAATTTTTATAGAAAGTCTTTTCCATTCCCCTTTTAAGCCAATTTTGAAAACAGAAAATGAAACCTCAAAGAAAATTGCATAATCAGCAAAACAGATGAAGATTTTTATAAATAAAGAAACCCAATTAATCATCAATTAATCTTAAAAACTAGATATTTTGTTTTTCAAATAAGACATTTTCTGTTTTATCTGGCCTAAACTTTTCCAACTGGACTCCACACAGCTCAAAATGTTGGACCCACCCTCAAGTAGCTAAAGAACATTCTCAGTTTTAGCTTTGAAAATTTGTAATGAATTTTCTAAAAAATATGGCTTTATCCTGCATGCATGTGAGATAGAAAAAAAAGACTGACCAATAAATGGTGGGAAAAGAAAATGTTGCAGGGGAATAGAATGAAACCTGATGGAATTTTTGCTAATAGATATAAGCACATGTAATGTTGTTCTAATCAATTTATTATCTCTAATTCTGTTGGTTCCTTTTTGTGTTCAAATGTTGCACTTTGTTATGTTAAAGCAAAACACACATAAAACTAAATTCACTCAATCATAATTCAAATGTTCAATCTTGAGATGTACAAGTAAGTCACATATCCCTCCTCCCACTGACTTATTTCTTAAATTAGAGGCAAAATTGCAAAAACTGATTTTATTATTTTTGTAAGGTTTTTAAGAATTTTAATTAGTCATGCCTATGTTTTTTAAAAATAATATTGATACATTAAACTCATTAAAAAATAAATAAATTTAATATTTTCTTTCATGGCAACCATTTGCTTTAAACTTTAAAATCTGTTCGATACTTTAAAAAATTGAAAATCTATCATCCTTTTCATAGAAGAAAACTAAAAATAGAATGCAACAATATTTTTTTTCTTTTCTAAAAACTACTTTTCATTTCTTTTTTTTCAAATAATATTGGAATGTTTTTTTTCAAAACTATCATTTTCTTTAAGATTTTATTGCATTTTAACAGAACAACAAACAAATTAAATTGACTTAATATGAAAACAAATTTTACCCCTAGTCATTTAGTAACCCTCATAGAATTAAGTTGATATGATAGAAACCAAGTTGGAGTTGAGGAAAAATGGGGGGGTATATGGAGAAGGAAGGAAAATGAAACAAAAGAAAAAAAATTAGTGTGTATAAAGAATTAATGAATTTTGTTGTTAATCCAATCACTTCAAAAATATTTTTAATGGATACCTGTATTTGAGAGCACATTTTTTCATTTTTTTTTTTTGGAGTACGCAGATTGGTAGATGAAATAAATACTGTTTAAACATAAACAGAGTGTCTACTCAAGTACTAAAAATAATGTTTAAAGTAATTATATATGTGTGTGTGTGTGTGTGTAATTATATATACACACACACATACGTGTAATTACATACATACATACACATATATATGCATAATTATATACATACACACACAATACATGTATAATTATACACACACACATATATATATATATATATTACACAACAAAATCCAAAATTACCTTTTGTTGTGTAATTTATATGCTCTGTTATAATAAATACATTGAGCTCTTTCTGTGGATCAGTTTTAATATTTTATATTACTATGAGCCACTTGGATTATATACCAATGGATTTATTACCTGTATATATATATATATATATATATAATAAAGCAAATATCTTGTAAAATACCACAATGATAAATGCAAACATATGCACTATATAGAGTACAGATAATGTAACTTACTTTAGACAAAGCCAATACTTTAGATTAAAGAAATAAGATAACCAACATGCCTCCCTCCACCACAAAAAATAAAATAAAAAAAATCTAAATGATAAACAAATTAACCAACTACAAATGCTGTCATAAACACAAGTAAATGTAATAATAATAATAATAATCAACAACAACAACAAACAAGTAATCAATAATAAAATAAATAAAAGGTTAACAAACAACTTTATAAAATTGCTACAAATAACTACATTTGGATCCACAATTATTCCTACTCAGTAGCCTCTAAAATAATTTGAAACATAACTGTTACCATTTACCTGATAAATGTTAGGATAATACAATAGACCCATAATGCATCATTGACCAGCATATATAAATAGTCATGCTAAGATGCAACACACATGGCCTGAAGATTGCATTCAAGCATGAAACAGACCGTCCCTGCTTGGTGTTGACGTCTTGACCACAGTGTCCACTTTATATATATATATATATATATATATATATATATATATATATATTCTAAATGAGAGAGAGAGAGAGAAGCAGACTTGCTTGCTGGTTGTGTATCAAGTGACAACAAGCAAAAGAAAGATAAAAGAGAGGATGCAGTGGGAAATATTTATGCAATTCTTCATTCTATTTTTACTCTATTTTAGCTTTTGAAATAATCCAGATTGTATAAGATTTAGATAAAAAAAATGGATGGGAAAACAAAGATTGGAAAGGATAAGTGAGAGTACGAGAAGATACAGGCAAAGGGTAAGAAAATAGCAGAAGGCTAAGATAATTAATAATCTCAATTGCCAGCACCCATAGAATTTTCACAAGTTAAGCTTGTTTTAGTTAATATATGAAGCGTCTTTATTTGATCTATATTTGATTAAAGACAGCAGAGAGAGAATAAAAAAATAAATAAATACTCTCACCTTAGTTGCCATGGAATTATAATGTTTCAAACTTATTTGCCGAAAATATTTCTGAAAGTAGAAAAAATGTGAAGAATTTGATCAACAAGACTTCAAATAAAAAACTGTTTAATAAATCAGCATATTTGAGGGCATATCTGACCCTACCCACTCCAGTTCACTCTCACCAACACATCTCCATCTTGGTTTCCATCAGTGGTATGGAAATGGGAAAAGTACAAATCCTGATCATCTACTTGCCATATTATCTTAACTTCAAACATAAGATCCCAGACAAATCTTCTGAGACATTATTTTGGGAGAGGGAGGGCTCTCAAAAAAAAAAAAAAATTAACTGATGAGGAAGGGTAGTATTCAAATATAGTAGACAAGAAAGTTTAGAATACAGAGTTCATTTTTTTGTTGGGTAGGAACTTTTTAGATAAAAAAAAAATAAATAAATAAATGACCTTATTAAAAATCTGTTCTCTTTAGAAAGAAGGATTTTTTTTTATTACCTTCCAATATGGCTTATATACTTTATATTTTTAATTCTTTCAGTAAATATTTTCTTCCACCTTCTGTAGAAAAAAAAATTTGAAGAGACAGTCCATACAAATCAGTCATTTTCTTAAAACTGAATTCCATCCATACGAGTGTGCCAATAATTTCATTGATTCATTCATTTATTTTCTATGGCTTATCAACCATTTGCAGGTTATTTAAAGCCAGAAAATATTTTTAGATTGTAAGAATATTTTTTTGAGCTAATAATGGTTTAGTGATACAAGTCTTACTAATTAACCCATAGCTGGGGGGGAGAAGTGCTGCATTCATACGTTACCCTTTGTGAAAAAATGAATTTAATGAACCCAAGTGAAATTGAAACTCAGCTCTCTAATTAACAATTCTGAGCCACATCCACTTACAACACCTGGTATTGCCAGGTACTGACCAGAATCAATGTTGCTTAACTTTGAAAAACCAGTTCCTGTATGATCACCAAAGTGATGTGGCCATAAACCACCCCAATAATTTAAAGAAGTGTTTCATGATCACAAATCCCATAAGCCCTGGGGGTTCATAGCGGCACTACATCAATTGCAGGTATAGAAGCAGTGGTATTTCATGGGCAAGACAGCCTAAATGAACCCAACTTTATCCAGGCTGGTTTGAATTCAAAGTTTTCCTTCTCCTAGAGTAGCTACCAACCAAGGCTATAGGGCCCAATCTGTCCTGCTGTTTAACCCATAGTTGGGGAGAGAAGAGATGAATTCATATTTTTTTCCAAGAGTCTTAGCAAGTAATGAACTTGACTGAAATTCCAACAGCTTTCCGATTCCTCAATCTGAGCAGCTATCCATTACTCCACCATGGCTCTCTAATAAGCATTTTAAATATTTAAAAAGAAACTAACCAAATATACGCAAAAAGAAATATTTCAGATTCTAAATTAAGGTTATGAAATCCAAATTGGTCTCAAATCTGCCAGAGTTGACAAAGTTAACCTGGCCGCTGCTCTTGAAAAGGACCTCCAGTCAGTGGTTAACTGGGACAGGAAATGGCCCGTAAATTTTAATGCTTCCAAAATGAAACTGCTCTCATTTAACCACCATAAAGGAACTTTCCTGTCTGCCATCAGCATGGCTGATGCTAGACTCATAGAGAGCAAGACACTGTGCCTTCTTGGCCTAACATTTTCAACAGACTTGAAGTCAAATGACTACATAGAATCAATAGCTGCATCTACTGCAAGGAAAGTTGGGTTACTGTGTCATGCCAGAAAGTTTTTTGCGTCAGGATTCAGCTTGAACATTTACAAGTCTACTATTCGTCCAAGCATTGAATACTGCTACCTTATCCGGTCTTGTGCTCCTGCTTTTCATCTTGATGTTCTTGATAAAATCTAAAGAATCTGTAATCCAATCAATCCTGACTTGGTAACTTGACTTCAGTCACTTTCTCACTGACATGTCTGGCTTCCTTCTGTCTTTGTGCAAATATTTTCATGCCTACTACTAATGACAAGCTTTTTTTCCTCTAGTGCCCAGACAACATGTGTTTAAGTGTGCTGTTAGATTGGCATCTAGGTCTAGGTTTTTAATGTTGAAATAGTTAAATGTAATTGTCACTTCTACTCTAACAGGTTCTTTTCTTGCATTTCCTGCCTGTGGAACTCCTTTCCATTTCCTTGTTTCCCTGATAAATACAATCTTCAAAAATTTAAATGCAACATTAATCACCATATTCTATCTTGAAACCTGTTCATCTTTTATCCTTTTCTCACTCTCATCTATACTTAGTCTTTTCTCTTTTCTCTCACCTCATTCTCTCTAACCCCTTGTGTACTAGTGGCATTCCCACCTTGTTTGGGGTGAAATGATTATAAAAAAAAAAAAAAAAAAAAAAGAAGAAAAATCTGGTAAGCTTTTCCTTTCAAAACAAGCACAGAACCTAAAAAAAAAAAAAAAATAGATGAGATTATGGCTAGATGGATCAGTACTTCCATCTGAGATCATAGTGTAATATTTGTGCACACTATATATATATATATATATATATATATATATATATATATATATATATATATAAATAAATGAATGAAAAGAAACAAGGAAAAACTATACTAGCTGATGTTTTTGTCCTCTAAGGGACTTTATCAAGACAAATGTAGGATTTATTATGCTGCACATGTTTATATACAAAAACAAGGATGTTTATCAACATTTATAAATTTGAGAATGTAACATTTATGAATGTTTCTCAGGCACTTGAAAGGCCAGTCAAAGCATATGGAGGACACAAAGTGTCATAATTCAAAATCTGCTAAAAAGTACTGTGAGGGAGTAATATTGAAGAGTTTTTTTTGTTTTTGTTTGAAAAGAATATTGTTTAGATTGTGATTAGATTGTTATGGTACAAGATATGTGGACATATGGGCTGTACATCTTCAAAGGCATGAGGTGATGGATTTAACCACTGAATATACCGAAGTGTTAAAAGTCATTGGATAACAGTATGTAAAGGTAATGGTAGGGAAGCCACCGGATCTTGATGTCATGGAAATGTCCAAACTTCAATCAATCAGGCTACTTATGGAAAGATGAAATGAATTACTGGAGTTCAAACAAAACATAATAGTAGATGCCAAACAGATGGAACATTCCATTTCTGAAATTGTGGGAATCATTTGGTTTATGGTGTCTTCTGTGTATCAGATGGAAGATATTACTGTCTATGGTGGATAGTGCAATGGGCAACCACAAGTCTTTAATGTACCTGACCAAAGGCATCTGGCTAGACTTGTCTGTGATGACAGACAAGCGACATTGGTTGAAATCACATTCAATGTAGGTGTCATGAATATCCGGCTGATCAGTTCAATATTCTTTAGCTTCTGTGGGATATAAGAGCTGAAGACCCACCTGATACAGTGCCTCACCTGGTCTCATAACATCACTAATTGGGGCCTGAAGGACTGTTCCAATTGCTTTGAATTGATGGTAGGTTTTGGGTGTAGTGCGGACCTCATGAAGCCTTGGACCTCAGGTGTCAACAAAGAAGTTATCATAGAGCCCAAGTTGCCAAGAACTGATTTTAAGATCCTTATGAAGACTTCCAATGAATGGTATGGCCACATGAACAAGTTTGGTGGAAAGATCTACGTCTATAGATAGTCAGGGGCACTTAGGGTGGCTTTTTAGGCATAATGGCACATCTCTCCCGAAATCTTTTGACTGCTTATAGAATTGATATCACATAGAGATGTTGCATTTTACCTGGCAAGAAAATGTCCCCTACCCAATACTAAAAACTGATGAATGTCAGTATTTTTTATTAATATTTCTGAATTGTACCATAAAACTATGAAGCAGAATTTTAATGTCTATTAATTTTGCTTTACTTACCAGCAAACATTCTTTGTAATATTTACGACCTACATAGCCTCTCCAATGTTTCTGAATGATAATTGCTGCTTCAGTACGTCTCCTAAAATATGAGGAAAAAAAAATAGTTTAGTGGATATTATATATTTTTTCTTAAATGTTCTTAAATATTTTTTTATAATCATTACTAACAATTTTATTTTTTTCAATATTAGAAAAAAACAATAGAAAAAATAAAATATGAAAATTACATTATGTACTTCACTGAGATCAGGTATAAAAAAAACAACAACAACAATAATAATAATAATAATTCTTGCTGCACAGGACAAATGCTTGCTAACTAGAAATTACCAAGCACACATATTGAAAAATTGTGTTAGTCTAAAATACAGATTCTGTGATAAATATCCAGAAACAATTGACAATCTTGGATCAGAAATCAAAAGAAATAAAATAATAATAAAGCCAGTTTTTTGTGTCCTTAATGTCAACTACATGAAAGAAAAGCAACATTGCAATATCATGAATATAAGTTTCAATTTATTCAAAATGAAATGTGTAAAACTGATAGCTGCTCTTGAAAATGATCTCCAATCAGTGGTCAACTGGAGCAATAAATGGCTTGTAAATTTTAACATCTCCAAAAGAACATAGAGAACCTTTTCTGCCTCCAGTCAGCATGGCTGATGCTAACCTCCAGGAGAGCAACACTTGACATCTTCTTGCACTCACATTTTCTACTGGCATGAAGTGTGTGTGTGTGTGTGTGTGTGTGTGTGTGTGTGTGAATCTGGCCCAAATAAGTGCTTCCCCAACTGACAAAGTCTCTCCATCACGTTCACAAACGTACTGACTACTCTGCATAAAAAAGACCACAAAAGACAGAGTTAATCTCGCAGCAAATTTCCTTACGCCCAACCACTCTTGCTAATTCTCCTGGCTCTGAGAGTGTGTTTTTCTTAAATTAAGGTGTCAGGACAGTCATATTTCTTTTTCCTTTCCTTCACTCATTTTGCACGCCAGGCATATACATGTTCACTTTGTCACACAAGGTAAGTGTCATCTTCTCTTCCACACTCCTCCTTAATCTCCTGATCACATGAAGGACACAGAGATTGTGATCACCTTTGTCAACTGCTTCTACATAAAGGTGGACGAGATCCACTCGTCACTTCTGCATATTGTGCTCACTTGGTACTTTTCATTAGTGACATCATTATCATCATCATCGTCATCTTCTGCATCTGTTTCCACTGGTTCCATAGATGAATAGTCTGGCCCTGCACTGAAAAAACAGCATCGAATTTGAGTTGCTTTCAGATGACTTATCACTGCTGTCATCTTCTGACAATGCAGATCTCAGATGCGGGAGGAGGTCTCTGATATGGTGTGGCTTTCCATTGATGAGAAATAAATGTGAGCTGTAGACCCCTGTCACTGTGTTTCATTTTTGAATTGTGTCAAACATCAAACATGTGGGGTCTTTACCCATATTGCATCTCCGACTCTGTAAATTTCAGGATCTGTGTGTTCAAGTGGTGATGCAACATCGACACTCTTTATGCATGCTTGATAGTTATATATAGCGTTATCTGGTGCTTTTGGCATCACATTATATCAATATAACACCACCATAATGGAAAATCCCGACTGAGTAGCGACACACTTGATGGTGCGATGGCATCTCTTCATGATGCCATTCCTCAATGGTTGATAGGCACACTGGAATCTGTCAGACGCCCCAGTTCTCTGTAAACCTTGCGAACACCTCACCACAGAATGCTGCACCATTGTCAATGAGCAGCTCGGCAGATGGCCTTCCCTCACAGAAAAGCAACTCCAAATGTTGGATAATGCTGGCAGCATCCTGATGTGGCAACAGTCGCCAGATGGAAAACCGACTAGGGCCACAGTCTATCAGTCGGGTAATGCCAGCCTTCATAATGTGCTATGTCCATCCCCACCCTGCTCCAGTTCTTGCACACATCCAACCGTCCAGCTTTCTAATGCACTGGTGCCAGGTCAATGGATTGGCACACTTTGCACTCTCCAACCACCACCCAAACAGCTGCCTTTGAGACCTCAGGTTGGATCCATCTTACAAAATACAAGGTGTGCTTCACACTGGGATGCTCACTATGTTGATGGATGGCTTGAATATGGGTTGATTCCTGCTCTTCTATAGATACGGCACATATTGGTTCCATTTCTTTCCAAACTGCACCCAGCCAACTTTGAGGCACTCTGTTAAGCTGATTGGCTCAGTTTGCATAGGATCTCACGAGCTCTATGTCAATAGTTAATTTGTATTCCTCCACCAGTTCCTTGATTGCACTGAGCTGATATCTTGTTAACATTTCTGTCACTGCCTTCATGCGTAATCAAGACTTTCCAAGACAATGTATCAAAAACCATTGATGCACACATGTCAAGTCAGTCTCCAGGTGAACCATAGTTGCTTTCCATTGCAGTTGCCATGTTGATGCCTCTCAAGATCGCATCCAGCTCTGTCAGTGTTGATATGCTTGACTTTGCGTTCTGATTGCAGCCAACAGGCAGCTTCAACCAAGGATTCACCACTTTCCACAATGACACCAGCTGTCAAGGTGCTTGCATCAACCCACACGATAACTTTGTGTTCATCAACACACCAATCACCCTGTGTCAATCTGGTAATAATGTTTGTCAGCATCTGAGTCAGGGGTGGCTCCTGCACCTCATCATTCCAGCCAGTGATCACAGAGTTTGTGCACTATTTTATGAACAGAGCCAGCCACATACTGGCAAATGTTCAGTCAACTTCCTACACAGGGCGAAGATGCTCCAACAAGTGAGCACATTAGGCAGCAGTGGGAGGTCACTCCCACGACTCCATTGCAATTTGCCCCACTCCTCCCAGACATGTAATCCCAGCACACTTATATTAAAACAATTGCTAGTCTACTGAGAGGAAAGTTGGTTCACTGTGTTGTACCAGATAATCTTTCTTGTCAGAATCCATTTTGCACATTTATAAATTTATCATTCGTCCATGCATTGAATACAGCTGCTGCCATATCTGGTCCGGTGCTCCAACTCTATATCAACAAAATCATAAAGAAGTGTCTGTATTGTCATCAATCCTGAGTTGAAATCTTTCCTTCACCTGTGATGTGATTTCCTTTTATCTTTTCTATAAATGTTTTCATGACATTTGTTCTAATGAGCATTCCTCCTTGGTCAGTTGACTGCATGAATTTAAGCATACTACTAGATTGGCAGTTAGGTCTCATCATTTTAGTGTTGAAACAGCTAGATGTAACCCTAAGATCTATTGTGTATTTTCTCATATTTCTCACCTGTGGAACTCTCTTTCAGTTTCTTACTTCCCTGTCACCTATGTTATTCAAAAGTTTAAATACAACGTCAACTGCCATCATCTCTCTTCCTAAATCCTGTTCTTTCATTGTCCTTTCTCTTCACTAAAGTCTTCTCAATTACTTTTGCTCCCAGTAACACTTTGTATCTTAGTGGCATTATCACCTTGCTTGGGGTGAAATGATTAAAAATAATAAGAAAAAACAGTTACATAGTTGGATTGCATTGAATGATCACATATATGATGTCAGATTAATAAAATGTATATTGTTCTTAGGTATTAACACAGACCTATACTCTCATATGCATATAATCGTATAGATGACTATAAAGCAACAGTTGTAGGTGGGCTAACTGAAAAAGTCAGGTGTTGTCCCATCATGTATCACAGATGTTCAATAGGTGACAGGTCTTTCTATCATGATGGTCAGAACATGTTTAATAGCACAGACATTACATGGGTGGGCATTATCCTGACAAAACAGCACATTGCCTTCCTATTGCAGGAATCACAGCAGAACAGGTTGAGCAATATTCTAGACATACATGGCCCTGTTTAAAGTACCCTCCAAAAATATCAAAGGCATGCAAGGGTTTTTAACTTCTGGCATCCCAACACCATGATGCCAGCAGTTGGGCTTGTGCGTCATGGGTGAATACTTTTTGAAAGATGTCACTACCCAAGTTTTTAAGAGCACCCACAAACTCTACCCTCACTTGCATAGGAGGAGAAAACCTGTTCTTGTCAAAATGCCATTCAATTTCCCCAAGTAATCCTCTTATGACATCACATGAGATGTGCTTGACAATGTTGTAGCATCTGAAAGTGTGGCTAGATGTACACATACTTGTAAACAATTCCCAAGGGGCCACATATATTCTACATTTGTATTGTGGATGCTGTGCAGTCTGCCACTTCATGCCCTACAACGTTATCAATTTTGGCACACAGCTGAACCTGGCCTACACATGTAGGAATGTTCGACTACTCTTGCCAACACTGAAGCATCACTGTACAGTAATTTTCCAAAGGACCCAACTCCCTCCCAAGTGACTCTAATTGAACAAAATGAGTATCTCTGCACCTGTTTGTACTGGATTCTCACCAGAATGAAACTTATCAGAGTATGTATCACTAAGACTCAGACAGTGTACTGGTATGTGTGTTACTACATCAAAAGATGGCTACCAAAGAATTTGAAATATTTACTACCCACTAACATGTGCATATTGTACCCAGGTCAAAATTAGTATCATTCTTCTTGGTGTTGTAGTTTTGTCTTCTATCAGTGTATATAGATTAGTGTATATTGGTCAGTGGTTCCCATACAGTGTGGTGTACCTCATAGATGCAGTGGAAGAAGTTAGCAGGTGCGAGCAGAATGATTGAAAGACAATCAAAGATTTAGAAACAGTTTCAAAAAATTCATATGCCAAAAAGAAATATGATTTCAAAATTTAAATCATGGATTACTTTAATTGCATGCATATAATTATTGACCAATTTTATCATTGTGATATTTTTGCATTATCAAGTATTAAGAATATAGTAAATAGGGTCTGCAAATTGAAGGAGAGAGTTATCAATGATAACCATGATTTTGAAGTCAGAACATTATCTCCCTTTAACCCTCTCTGTTTTTTTTTTAATTTTTTAAATGTACTTTTTATCACATAAAATTTGGTGAGGCGCAAACAAATTTTCATTCAGAAAATGTGGCCCAGAGAAAAAAAAATTTGGGAATCACTGCCATATGAGTAATGACTGGCAAGCTTATCCCACACATTATTGCAGTTATGATGTTGTCTTTGTTCAAAATAGCCAAAATTAGGAAGGCTATAGTTAGTGTATCAAAGGAACAGAAGGCTAGATAGACAAAACAAAGAAGAAGAGTTTTATTAAATACTCATACAGAAAAGGGAAAGACTTGAGAAAATCAACTACTCCTCAAATCCTACTCCAGTGTAACTACTTGCCATATATTTCTCACAATAGTAGGGAAGAGCAGGAAGTACACTGCACCCTACTCTACAAGAAATGAGTTGAATCCTTAACAAGAGTTGTAGATTTGTGTCAATATCAAATGTACATGTATACTGTTTTTCTAGGCAAGCATCATCTCCCTCTTTAAAGGACTCATGTAACAGAATCTTCTGACTCGATTTTCTCCAACTTAGCCTTGTGCCAAAATAAGCTCAGATTAACGGCTGACTGGTTGCTTGAAAGGTTGACACGGTTGTCATTAAATGTTGAAATCTACCAACATTGTTTCTCTGATTCTCAAAAACATACTTCCAAGGCAAATTTACAAGAAACCAGATATATAAATCCATAAATAGAAAGAGTTTTTTTCCAAAACTGAGATAACTCACCGCATTTTCTTCTCAGCTTCTGCTTTCTCTAAGGCATCAAGTTCCGCAATTCTCTTTTTTTCGGCTTCACTAGAAAAATAAAAACAAATTGTGGCAGAAACAGAAATAATATTCATTATTGAAGTTTGGTTTTCCAATTGACAAATCAAGAAACTAGGGTGAATAGAAAGAGAGAAACATGTGAGAAGAGATAGAGCAAAATGTTGTTTTAATGTCTAAAGCAATGATTCTCAAGTGCCGTATTGTGACACACTAGTGTGCCATGCAATCCCCTAAAATGTCAGATGGAATATGAAACATGTCATCCATTATGAAATATGGAACATGGAAAGAACATCACTGCAGACATTTATTGCAAGCCACTTGATTGGGTAAAGAAAACATTACCTCAAATGTGCCCTGCTTTGGTAAAAAGAAAACATGTTATTCTCCAGCATGACAAGGCACAGTCTGCAGAACAGTTCCTCACCTGGAAATCAGATCATTAGAATGGAAGGTTCTTCCGCATCCTTTATACTCACCAGATTTTGCATCTATGATTTTTCCTTTGTTTCAATCACAAGAACATTTCATAAATGTCAGAATATTCAGAAACAAAATTGAAAACAGGGTTTCAAACTGTTTTTGAGAAAAAAGATTTCTTTAAACATGGAATCAAAATTTTGCTTTCCCACTTGGCTGCAGTCATTGAAAATAAACCTTATTACATTTTTTAGAAATAATATTCAAGTATATTTAACATATTTATTCTTACAACCTTTCTGGTAAAATATAATTTTATTAATTTACAAACACATTCCTAATATATTCAGTTTATGGACTGTTATTAAAATAAGAAAAGCAAATTGTTTTTTTGCTTATAAGAATGTACAGATGTCAGCTTTTTTAACTCATTTGCAAAGTGAATTTTCATTTGAGAGACATTTCTTCAAAAAGTGATCAAATTTAATGGCTCCAGTAATGGCCCTTTTAGACTTGGCCACTTGGGTAAGCTTCTTTTGGAAAAGATAAGGTATGCTAAAACCAACAAGAGTAGCAATGCCCACTAAAATGAAAATATGCCTTATATATGTTATAGGAAAGAACAAACAAAAATTAAAGTTTCAACAGCATGTATTGATCAACTTTCAGAATATATACATGATCGTGTGAAAAGCTGACAAAATTGTTGATATGTGATTCTTAAGTTGCCATTGGTAAGGGAAGCAATTAAGGTACAAGGTTGTTGATGGCAAGTTGATGAATTTGTTGGGTTAGTTGACCGGAGAGTGGATTAGTTAAGTCATGTGGTAGCATGAATGGGATGTCCTTGGCAAGGTTGATCCATCTTTTTTATCTGTGGTTTATCAAATACTGACTCCCAGGCTCACCCACTTTTTTTTTTTGGCAGCAATGTTCATGATTGACTGTTGTATTTTAGATTTTTGTGGGAATTTGCTTTGTGAGCCAGATGTGATATTCAGAGCCGTGTGCAGAAGATGATTTCTTTTTTTTATTTGGGGTTTGCAAGGACAAGCAACTATTGAAAGAAGATATAAGCAGTACCAAATAAGTATTTTGATCTATTTCAACAGACACACATATTTGGATATCATCCCTGTTGCTATGACTTTTAATTGCTAAAAGAATACATTTTAGAAATTCTATATTCTCATTCTTGTTGTATAATCTATTTCTTAAATAAAGGATATTTTTTTAAAACTGTTCAGTTGTCTCATCTTTGTTCAATTTGGGGAGTCACTAAATTTCCCACATTTTGCTGAAAACGTATTTGCAAGTAAGCAATTTTGCCAAACATATACACAATTTTGCTAAACAGATAAGCTTTTGTTAAATATATAAATGTGAGCAATTTGTTGAAAGCATAAAGCAATTTTGTTGGCATGATGACAGAGAATTTACAAAAACAAATTGAGACATAATTTGATCATAAAGGCATCGAGAGAGAAAACATCTCGACTGCTGTCTTTTTTTATAGATGAAAAAAAGATATATAAAAATAATTTTTACCTTCACAGTTCAGTGAAATTAATCCAGACACAAGGTGTCAAAAACTATAAAATAATTTTTTGCCTTTAAAGTTCAGTAAAGTTCTTATGGACATGTAGTGTCCAATATGCATATAAATTTCCGCCCTTCTTCAGCATTCAGTGAAATAAATCCAGACAAGTGGAGTCCAAAATATAATTAAAAAAAATAATTTTAATTTATTGTCTATTTCAAGACAGATAATTAGAAGAAGTTAAAAGGAGTTAAGGCCCTTATTGACACTAAGAACAATTTAAAAAATGATATTCATTTAAGTTTGGAATCGTTGGAGCAAGATAAGAAGTTATAGGAAAAATCTTTTAAAGAGGAAGAAGCTATCATAGAAAATCTTTAGGGAGAAATTTAAGCTTTGGATGGTAAAATCCAAGAAATTTCTATCAAAGCAAACCTGGATTTAGAGGAAAGTGGTTTTGTAACTGAACAAAGGAACAAATTTTGTTTTTGAGTCTGTCAATAATTGGCTTGCAGATATTGAGGAATGTTCAAGAAATGAGCATTTCCCACAGCAGGGAAGCCAGTTCCTTATTCAACAATGATTCAATGATCTCAACTCCCAAATTACAGTGTGCTACTTTTAGTGGTATTAATCCTTCTAAGTTTGAATTTAAGAATTTTATAACAAAGTTTAACAACCATACTAATTCCATCAATTCTAACAAAGCAAAGCTAACCCTCTTAAAGAGTTATCTGGCTGGCCACACTCTTCAGCATCTTAGAAGACGACAATTATTCAAATTCTGGATTCAACCTTGTAAGCTACATCATATTTGATAAACTACCCCATAATTAAAGATGGGAAATCATTCACAGGGTAGATAGCAGTTACCCTTAAGGGAAGTATTTGTGAATTATAATGAAGGTCACCCCACGGGGAAGTGTATGAAATATCCTACCTATGAAACTAGAGCAGAAAAATGCAGATATTTGAAATCATGCATTAGATGCTCCAGTGACAGATATCATGTTGAAGATTGCCCTGAACTTCAGAATAAATTATTCCTTTCCTGTAAACAATGTTCACCTAAGGGACATATATAACACCACTATGAGTTAATCATAAGAAGGGGATCTCTCTTTTGACTTATGTGGATACCAATACAAATAAAGAAAACAGCTTAATGCTACCTATTGTGGAAGTCACATTATATTGAGATGCTAAGAAAGTCTCTATAAACTGCTTATTGGTCACAGGTAGCCAGCGGTCATATTTCTCTAAATGAATATTAAAAAAGTTCAAATGTCCTAACTGGAGTCTAATTTCTGTTGAAGTAAAAACTTATACAACAGTTTCCACCAAATCATATTGGAAATACATGTAAGCAAAGGGAGATCACTTCTTATCCCCCATTTTGTTGGCTGACAAATTTAATATTCAATTCAAATTTGATGACTTCAGACAAGTGATAACCAATTTTACTAAATTAAATTACAAATTAGCCTTTTCTCATAATTATAATAATAATCAAATAAACATTCAAGGAATTCTGGTACGAAAAATTTTAAATGCATGAATGGCTTGGCATGGAAAATGCTGAATGGAATTGCCCCCTTTCAGGAACAGTCTAAATTTTTTTATATAGATATCAAGTTACTTCAGCAAGACCTGAGGTTTCCAACATTCTAGTCAACTACTATAATTTCTGAACATTCTGTATGTTCCAAACAATAAGGAGAATTTGTATTGCAACCAAAATCCACCTACCCTAAAATATTCCCAGATACCAGATAAATTTGAAAAAAAAATAATAAAGTTCAAGGACAATTCATATTTCAAGGAATTACCCTGGCACAAAGACATGATCAAATCAGTGCCATCTAATTATCAAGTTGCCTTGAAAGTGTTTGATAAATCTATGCATTCTTTAGAAAGAAAAAAAATCGGTTACTGCTTACAACGATATATTTCAGCAACAAGAGACCAAAGGGATCATAGAAAGAATTGAAGTCTCTCCACAAGACTTTTCAAAATATATTTGGATTCCTCGCAAACTGATCTTCAAATCTGATGAACCAAAATTGTTAACTTCAAAGAATTATGGAATGGGGAATGTCTCTTGAGTCTAAGAGAAAGTTGCAAGGAACTAAATGATATGTATTTTAATAATAAAATAAAAGTAGATGATACAGTATTAATTAAAAATCCTGCAAAAGCCAGACCATTCTGGAAACTTGACAAGGTGACTGAACTTTTCTGTGGAAATGATAAAAATGTACATTCTGTATGCATAACTAAGATGAACTGTGCATCTTATAAGAATCATAATATACAATATCTGTTTACAATAGAATTTTCCTTGATGCATAACAATAGTCATGGGTAAGACTTTAAACTGCACCTACTTAATGGTAATTTATAATCAATCTTAGACCAGGGTAAGACTTTAAACTGCATCCATTTCTTTAGGTCACTTTCTGACAACTTATTGGCCATCCCAGTTCTAGTCAATATGGTCCTAAGTAAGACTAAATTGTAACCACATTCTGGCCATTCTTATCTGGGCTAATCTTGTCCTTGATCAAGACATTAAACTTTATGGTAGTGATAATGATAATTACAGGTGAATAAAGATTACATCTTCAATTCAATGATGAAGAAAAAATTAAGATTGGGTACAAGATTAAAAACAAGTGCTAAACATGCACATAAGAAAACAATTACTTCAGCAAAAGATTGTTTAATTTAAAATACTACATTTTCACAAATGCAAAGGATCATATGACATAATGCAGACAGTTCTGTTCATCAGTACCTGTAAAATAAGGATTCTATCTGGAATTCATACTTCAATGCTTTCCTGGGTAAAATTTAAAACTGCATCCATTCAAGTTGTAGTATCTTATAGGGTTGTCCTTAATAAGACATTAAGCTGTTTACATGCAATCCATTGGAAAATCCAACACACAGTAGAATTTTTTTTACCACACTGTATTTATTGTCAATCTCCATTACTCATCATCCCCCCACAAGGAAACTTTCACTAGTGTCAGAACTATAGGACTATCAGCCTCGTTAGCCACACCAGTAAAATCATGCTACGAATCATTTTAAACAGACTCAAGAATGTAGCTGAAAAACATCTAGCAGAACAAACTGGATTTAAGGCAGGCAGAAGCACCATGAAGCAAATCTTCAATTGCTGTATTCTGATGGAGAAACATCTGCAATATCAGAGGGATCTGTTCCATAACTTTATAGATTTCAAGGTTTTTTTATAGAGTGTGAAATGATGGTCTATGGCAGGTCCTGAGGAATTTTGGCATAGAGGAGGGCCTCATTCAAACCATCGAGGAGCTGTACAAGACCTCCAGTAGTGTGGTCCTCCTTAACAGTCAGGTGGGTGACTATTTTAAGACCACAGTTGGAGTCCATCAGGGCTGTTTGCTTTCCCTAACATTGTTCAATCTCTTTCTTGAGAAAATTGTGTGAGAATCCCTTCAAGACGTTCAGTTCACTAAATCCATAGCAGCGAGAATCATTAACAACTTACTCTTCGCTGATGGCATTGACATGTTGGGTGGCAGCAACTAGGAATTGCAAGGTCTCAGCTACAGATTGACAGACAGAGAATGAGCGTATGGAATTGAAGTGAGCACTGAGAAGAGTAATGACCTGGTCAACAGCACAACCAACATCAGGACCCAGATTGTCATGAACGGAGAACAACTGGAAGAAGTTACCGCTTTTAAATACCTTGGCGTTACCATCACCAAAGATGAATGCTATAAACAGACCAACAGAGTGGCTATGGCAACATCAGCAATAGCAAAAATCAGTAAGATTTGAAAGAGCAAAAACATCAGCTTTCCAAACATGATGAAGCTCTACAAGTCCATGGGGCTGTCCTTACTGTTCTATGTATATGAAAGCTGGACTGTGGACTCTCTTGGTGGTTTCTGCTATCAAAGATTTGAAACCAAATGCTTCAGATACTTCCTTGGGATCTCCTGTAGAGAACACAAGACAAATCACTTTGTATAGGGTCAAGTAATACAACTGGCCAGCCCCCTCTTGGCAACAATAAAGAGGAGAAAGGTGTTGTGGGTTGGACATGTCATATGCCACAATAACCTACCCAAGACAGTCCTTCAAGGTACCTTGGAAGTGGGTAGACGTAAGATGAGGCAGTCCAAAAGCTGGATAGACAGTATCAAAGAATGGATCATGATGAACACTTCAACACTGTTTACGGGAGACAGAAAACAGATCTGGTTGGCAGCAGCTGGCTGCATCATTGTTGCTCATGATCGACTCAGTCATGAGAATTTATTGTCACAGCTGAAGTTTACCAATACTTTAATGAAATGATCCAACAAGATGTATAAACAACATCAATAGGGCATGGCTCAAATAATTCCAATTGAACAAAAAAACACTTCTTATAAGAAGCACCAACCAAAATGCACTTCAATTTACCCATGTTTGGTTATTCTGTCTTGAAGACAAACTAACCTTGAACATTTGATCTGCTGCATGATGACAGGTTTCGATGTGAAAATTATATGGTTCAATTGAAGTAACCACAAAGGTATACTTTTTTTTTTTTTTTAATCATACACACACTCATAAACCATAAATGGAGTCCAACACAATTAAACTATACATTGAATAAATAATAAAATTTTGTGTCATGAAAATAAATAGAAATAACAAAAAATGAGTAATGTTATTTTTAATTAATGTTTGGAATAATTTAACAAGGATAGAAAAAATTTTATTAAACATCAAATGTAATAGTGCACATATAACACATGCTTTAGCCACTAAAATGGGCATAATTCAAATTAAATTAACTCAAGTTCAAATGTCTAAAAAAATGAGGGGGGATACTTACAAGCATCCACTAATAATAACCGGCCACAATAATACCAAAGGTTTTCATTTTAATATATCAAGGACTATCATATTTCACACCCAGTGAAGTTATTCTTGAATACTTCTTAAAAAAAAAGTTAACTGACAAGTAAAACACCAAATATTGCTTTTTTCAAGGTAACGATTTCTTTTTTTTAATTGATCTGTTGAATTGATGGAAAATGTTTACTTTAAAGAATTCATTTTTATACTTAAATTTATTTTCATCTTTAAAAAAAAATATTATTACCGTATTTGACGGCATAAGGCGCACTTTTTTTTTTACTAAAAATTTCTTTTAAAATTCCCCTATGCCATATGTAGATTTACTAATTTTACACATTTAAATTAAATATTACTAAATATTACTAATTTTTTCTTGATTTGCTCTGTTGAAATTGGGGTGCGTCTTATATGCCGTCAAATACGGTAGTTTTATTATTAAAGATTTATTTACGAAGCTGAGGCAAGTTTTACATAGAACCCAAAGGATGACCGGACCCCCCAGCCCGGGCCAGGATCAACAAATTAATAAACAATTGGAGTGACGATCGCACACGACACCATGAAAGCCCGCCCCAGACTTCATATCTTATTTCTAATTCATTTAAATTTTTTGAGTTAATTTATGCTGACATCTTGTAGATTCGAAACATTTTTCAACATAAACAAACGTTTTTTTAAAAAAAAACTCATCATCTGAAACTCAGATTCGAACCTTTACCGCTTTTGCCAGGCGAGTCAATTGGAAATTGCAAATGTTTTTCTTTTTGTTTACAATTTATTGTACATAAACAATATTTCTCAAATTTTATCGAAATTCATTATTTACGCCAAATTATGTAGCGAAGAAAACTTTGAAGAAAAAAAATATTTGAATTTGATGAAAATTTATAACACCAAATGAATTTAAACTAAACAGTAAAAAAAAAAAAAAAGTTTTTAAAACTTAAAATAAAATTTCATTCAAAATTATTTTACTTTTATTCACTAACTTTTTTAAAAAGATTTTAAATGAATATAGTAATTAAAATTAATATTCAGAAAAGTAAGACACATTTTATTTTTATTTTTTTTTTTACTTTCGAAAAAAATATCAAACTGATTTCAGAAATTAAATTCACTTTCTTTACCGAAATCCTTATTATAAAAGTTAATTTGAATTTTGAATGAAGAGGACTTACTTTCTTTCATCGTAAATGATTTCGCTAAGGAATTCAATTGTATTCTTCAAAAGTCTTGATTTTGCTGCCATCAAGTTGGTGGTCTCGGTTGTTTTAAAAAAAAATAAGCAAACAAAATGTCTTTTTTAGTTTTAAAAACTAAAAGTTATTTAATTTTCCCCAATGAGTGCATTGCAATTAGTTTTTTTTTTCTTCTTCTCTACAAACAAATCAACAAAAAGCGAAAAATAACGACTTTTTTTATTTATTTTTAGAATTATTTGAATTTGCAGAAACGCTTAAGAATTTTCAAAATTTTTTAACAGGTTTTACTTTTTTTGAAATGGCTGTTATGAATAATCAAGAGTGGTCTCCCTTTGTTTTGTTACTCTCCTCTTTGAGAGAGCTATTTCTGTTTACTGGGACTATAAAAAGACAATATACGCGAACCTTGTATTCCCAGTTGAATAAAAAGCTTTCTTAAAGTCTATACCTCTGTACTTTTATCTTTATTACAATGGCATTTCATTTTTTTAAATATGGTAGTCATAGTGTTTTTTGATAATTCTGCTCTCAAATGAATAACGCCATTTCTGTCATCAAATCTTTGGATCATTTTTGTTAGTTCATCCCAAAATAAAAAGAATTTATATTTACTAGAATTCATACCAAATTCTTCTAGAGTGAAGCCCTTTCACTGCACCCCAGTTGAGTTGACCGTTCCGATCACCCCAAATGTGGGTCACTTGACTGCGCTAGTTCTACGTTCATGCTCACCCCGGTAAACAAGCCAAAAAACAGATTTTTTTTTCCTTTTCTTTTTAATTGTAAAAAAATTCCTTGAATATCATCTGTCCTTACGAAATTTGAATAATTCCCTGATTTTGGGTAATTTTTCATTCTGAAAATGAAAAATTACCCAAAATCAGGGAATTATTCAAATTAGAGGTTAGAGTTTTTGTAAAGCTAAACAAATTTTTATTTAAAATTTATTTATAATTTCAAAAGAGTGCCCCCCACCCCCCAAAATAAAAAAAAAACTTTGATTTAGTATTTAGAATTTCTTGGGGTAAATTAATATTTGTGATAAGTAACTTTGGGGTTAATTAACAGCCAAAACTTTGGCAGATTTAATAGCAAATGAACAAAAATAAATTTAAATTAATTGACAAAATACGAAGAATTGCTGTGGTATGTGTTGACTTGACATTTGATGGATGAAGAAGACCATTTAAAGAGAAGATAAACCATTAGGTTAGGACAAATTATAAAGAAGAAAAAATTTGTACACATTACCACTTAATTTTAACTTCAAAACATTTTATTTTGTATTCAATCTTTACAGCAAAGACGAAATCTCATTTGTAAACTTACATAGATCTATTTTTTGTAACAGGTTTCTAATGCATTTGCTTAAATGCAGAATAAAATATTTGACAAGAGCGTTTTTAAATAAAATTAAAAAAGAAATGTAAAATTATATAAAAATAATTAAAGGGTAAATAAATTTAAGAAATAATACAATAAGAATAAACTAAGTTTGTTTTTTGCACTTTCTTTTGGGGGAAGTATTTAAAAAATTAATTATAAAAAGAAAGCCAGACAGTTCATAAAAAAAATACTGTAATATTATGTGTAAAATTTGGTTTCCAAATTTGTTAAAAAGAGGCTCAAGTAAGTCTTATGGCCTGATGTAAAACTCATCAATATAAATTCGGTGAGCAGGCATAGTTTAAAAAAGGTTACATTTTGGGTGGGTGGTTTTTGAAGGTAATTTCCGCCTATGCAAATTTCTTACTAGGATATGATTGAATCTGGAGTTGGTTTGGGAGGAGGGGGTCTACTTAAAAAGTATGCTCATGACCTAGGACTGTTTTCCTAATAATGATGCTGACCACGATGATAAAAGAAACAGATGAAGAGGAGAGATAAACAAACTGAAAGAAAGAAAACTGACAGAAGATTCTTAAAATTAGAAGTATCAACCCTAATTTTGAACTTTTATAAAAAAGAAAACGAGATTTATCTTAATATTTCATTTTAAGACTGAACTATTGTTAACATTTTCAGCAATGCATGTGATTTTGTCCACCTTCTCAAAAGATTTTCGACTGTTGAAGGTATGAAAGGGAAAATTTTGTTGAATAATTTATCTCAGCTTCAATGAGCTGAACATTTTAATTATTGAACTGGTTATCTTTCCTTAATAATAAGGTGCACAAAGGAAAATTTTGTGCAAACTTATTTGTATAATTTGTATTCTGTTTTGTTTTTGATGTCATCATTGTAATTCAAGAGCACCTGTGGACATGGAGAAGCCAAATAAGAGACACAACAAACAAAAGAGTTCTACAATGCAATTCTATGCTGTACAACATAGCCATCTTCCTGTCATGTTCTACATCAGTCGTTAACATGCCAAAACCTACAAACAAGCAAGAAATGTTGAGACTTTTTAGAATGGTCACTTATGTTACCAAATTCATTCAAAATTTATCAGACATTTCTACAGCACTACATGAACTGACTAAAGACAATGTACCATCTTCATGGAATGCAACATACAGTATAAGAGCCTCAGAAAACTGATAGCACTAATAACAAGTGCTCCAGTTCTAAAACATTATATACAATGTAATAATAGAAGTGATCACATTATCAGTTGACAGCTTGAAACATGGACTTGAAGCATGTATTCGGCAAAATCAGCATCATCCTATTGCATCTGCACCACGTGCATTGACTACAACCCCAAAATTCTTTCTCCTAACTAGAGAAAGAACTATTAGCTATTGTATCTGGATGTAGACGTTTTGATGACTGCGTATACAGTAAAACTGAAATTGGAGAAACTGATCACAAGCCATTAGGTTCAATTTAAAAAAAAAAAAAAAGTCGCTCTTCGCTCCTCACATAGAAAAAAATGATCCTGCACTTCCATAAATATGATCTATGTACAAACCTGGAAAAGATCTACTTATAACAGATACTCTTTCTAGAGCACTGTGGGAGTATTCACTCACAACATAGGAGTCATAAAATTGGGCTTGTGTTCACGAGGAAAAACAGAACAAACATACACAATAACAATAAAAATAGAACATGGTAAATTGTATGGTAATTTCATACAATTTTACTCATGTACTTGTGTGTATTGGTATGTCTGTTTTACATCGTGATAATGTCCATGTTATAAAAGGTAGTAAGTCACTCCATAATATTGTCCTATCATGGAGAGAAGTTACACACGTGCTGTCATCCCAACAGTTTTTGGCTGAAGAGCTTGAATCTTACATCTTTTGGTAAGATGTCTGTCTTCTGACAAAAACAGTCTCTGTTGCATGCTTATTTTTTTTTTTTTTTTAAACAAAGTTTAAATTTTATTTTATTTATAATTTTCATTATTATTATTTTATATTTATTTATAATAAAATTAATAATGTTTCTATAGCACACTTGAAGGATCATGAAAATCCACTGTGTGATGAATTGCCATCAGATCACCACCAATGATGCCAGAAAAGCTAAAACAATTTCAGACGGCAAGTCAAGAAAATGCTACTCTGTCAACCTGATGCAATATTGTTTTGAATGGCTGGCCATATACAAGAAAGGACTGTCCACCATCTCTAAAAGTATGCTGGGAATTCTGAGATGAGACCGCATATCACAATCACTGACTTTTTAAAAGTGACAGAGTGATTGATTTGGAATCACTCAAGAGAAAAACATTGAATAAGATTCACGAATCCCATCAAGGAGGGGTTTAAAAACAAGTAGAGAGCCAGAGATATATTATTCTGGCGTGGTATGAATTTTCAAATTGAGAAGGCAGTTGAAAAGTGTTCTATCTGCACTAAATATAGAACAGACCATCAAAGTACCATCGCTGCCACATAAAATACCAGAATGCCATTGGGAAAAGGTTGGTATTATCGTGGTATTTGTTTGCACCTTTTTTTAAAATTTATTCAAAGGTTGGTATTATCGTGGTATTTGTTTGCACCTTTTTTTAAAACTTATTCAAAGTTTTATTTGCTTGTGCCTTATTCAAACTTTAAGGATAAGAGAGGCATGTGTTCTCTTTTCCCATTCTATTCCTAAGTAAATTTTTGTATTTTGAACAAAAATGTAGGTGTTTATAGGGAGCTAAATTTTTACATTTTGCACAAGGATCGAATTTGGTATTTGTGTAAATAAATTTTTATAAGCCACTTACCTGATGAGCTTATGTGAATAGAGAGGACCTTAGAGGGAGAAAAACTGCTAAGAGCCTCATGAGAAAGGAAGTTGTGGAGAGCCATGATTACCTGTGTCCTGAAGGGATATGGCACATAGAAGAAATGTTTGTTTCTTTCAAATTTCACATCAGTGTTGGAGTTTTGTTTGTTTATGTCTGTGCTTTACACAGTATCCTGCAGAAGGGGGGGGTAGAAGGTGCAACGGCCCCCTGGCATCCATATTGGGAGGGCATCTAATTAAAGTGTGAAATAAAAATTTATATTATATTTAATTCGAATAAAATGTTCATTTCAGGTTTCATCTGTTTTTACATATTCAAAATGTCTTCTTTTCTCATATTTTTCAGCTCTAGGCCCTACTGGACCCTATATTTGAGTTTTAGGGGGCGTGCAGCCAAGGAGTTGACCTCGGGCATCACCAAACCTCTACACGTCACTGGCCTTGCATAATAACCAGGAAAAGAGACATGACATACTTTCTTCTACCTACAAGGAATTTCAAACTGAACCCTTTATTTAATCTACAGGGTGTAGACTATTCTCGTCCCACTACCCATGTCTCGGGACATCTCATTTAGGTCTTATTTTTAATACTACTCAGTAATTGCTTGCCTCAAAAAATGTTTGGTAATTTGTGCCAGGGAGATCTTGGTATTATATACTGGAACTTTGGAAATAAAAGGAAGATCAACTCAAGAGTATAAAATAAATATATTTTTTATTTATTTTATTTAGAGTGAATCTTTTGATATTCAGTGCAGCAAAATGGTGTTTATGAGGAGGATCTTGATAGCAGTCAGGAGAAAATCTGTTTCGGATCAGTATTTCAACAGTTTAGTAGTCAGAACTTG